GGATGGTGAAGGTTTTCCGATGCAGCACAACGAGGAACCAGTGCTGCTCTCGATTCGCTGGAAAGATGACAAGGCCATCTTCCGATGCAGCGACTGTGTCAGACAATGAATCGTTGCACTCCGACAACCTGATTTCTCGGTTGGAGTGGCCTCGCAGTGATCTGTCCATGTCAGCAGTCCCGTTGGCGTCGAAGGTCTGCTGCTTAGGCAATCGATTACCTCATGCTGTGAGTCGCCGCTCTCCGCAATCAAGCAACCGCGGTCCAACCTTAACACACACACACACACATCATACCCAAAAGGTGACTTTGACCCCGTTTTGCGAGGTAATGTTTGCTTGTTGCAGGCGCCCGAAGCAAAAGTCAAGCGCTTCAGCGGACATCCACTCAGAGCCCTTGTCGACGAAGGGCTTCAAGACTTGACTCGCTGGCAGATGCTCGGACGCATCTATCCCAGGCGAATTGAGCTTGATCGGGATTCTCCTGTCATAGAGCTGAAGGAACTCCTGCACAGTTTGCAAGGCCTTCGGGGGCAGTCTGGCGGCCGGTTGGGCAGCTGCTGAGATTGAAGCCGTCGACTCTACAGACGAGTTGACGGGCGGTTGGGCAGTGGCGGGGATCAAAGCCATCGGCTCGGCGGACAGTTCGGTGGGCGGTTGGGTCGACTCTGCGGCCACGTTGTCGGGCGGTTGAGTAGCGGCTGGGATTGTGGCTGAGACCCGCAGGGGTGTGAACTGCAAGGGCTGGCAGGCTCTCATGAGCCAACGGTACGCGAGAATTCTAGGCCTGGGGTGCCATGCGAGCTCAGCTTCGATTGCCTCGGGGGGGATCTGTCCACATGCTTGCCCACAGACGCATCATCAGGGTCGGCCTCGGTCGTTGAACAAGTTCGGTTAGGCCTGCGGAGGCTGCTTGTTGAGCAGAGGGGCGGCCAGGAGGAGTCTGCGGCGCTCGTGCAGACCTAGTAGCGCAGTCACGCCTGACTGTATGCGGAGGTTGCACGTGCCCTGCATGCGAAACAGAAGAAGAAGGGCGGTCACAAAGAGCAGAGAGAGGCGTGCGTTCTACTTGGTCGACCTGCATCGGTTCAGCGGACCCAGAATCGTGGCTGCGACTGCCTGCATGCGGAGCTGGAGCATGTGCCGTATGCGCAACATGGGAAAACGATGCATGTGAAGCACGAGCAGGAGCACCAGCAGGACTATGTTGAGCAGGTGCACCAGCAGCAGGGGCTTGAGCAGGTGCTGTCCACCGGGCTTTCATTGCAGCCATATTGCGTCGTGTGACGGGGTCCAGGGGCGAGACAAGCAACGAGAGCTCGGCAGCAGACACGCTCTTGCCGCTGGGGTGCCCAGGCATCTGAACGCCAAAGTCGCTCTCCACGTCGTCTTCAAGCCTGGCATCAAGCTGCAGTTCTGGGCGCAACACGTTGCGTGCAGTGGGCATCAGCACACCACACACTCATCGTGGTTGTGCTTGACAAGGGAGAACTTGATTTGCTTCTTGTCGTCCTGGGGGAGGTTGCACATGTGATGGAAACACGCGTGCGTGGTGCTGAGCGGGGCGACGAGGGTCGTGGCCGGCACGAGAAATTTGGCACGACAGGCGTACTCGGACACGGCCTTGCCCCCACGAAACAATGAAACGCTGTCAACGCGGTGCAGCAGCTCGACGCACGCCCAGTCCGTGAAGGCATCCGGAGGAGCATTCGTGAGACGGTACCCAAACAGAAACTTGCCGAGATAGCTTCTTTTGTCGATGCGAATCTTGATACGAGGCGCGGTTCATGGTGCTGCCGGCGCGCTGCAGCATGCCTAGCATACGGACCGTGTTTCTATAATGTGAGTGCGTGTCAATAGATGTGCTTCGACCCGGTCTTTCCGGAGCAAACGATTGAAAACGTCCTGTCCGCTGCTAGGTGTAGCCACTTCGAGCATTTCCATCCTTTCGCGACTCCGTGCCTGCCACGATTACCCCAGAGATCATATTACACTCTAAGCTATGCCACTGGCTGGTAGAACACCGGGGCATTGTCGGACCGACCAGAGCAGACTCGCCCGAATTGGTCGACGAGAAGAATGAACGCAACCTGGATTTGGATGCATCCAACATGTCCTTTCAAGACAAAAGAAGTTCAATAATCATCTGGCAATGTGCCACTGGAAGAGAGTAGAAGTAAAAGCGCCTTAAACGGCCTGGCTGGAGCCGACCGGTCGATTTTGCGAGCACCCCTCTTCAAGCACGACCCGCGGCGTCTTTGAGATGCGCGTGCCTCTTCATTGAGCTGTTTTCGGACGAGAAAAATAATTTCGTGCTTGGTTTTAATGACATCAAGGGGTGAAGGAAGGCAGAATCAGTCGCCACCTCGACAAGAGCGACAAGAGTCGGAAATGGCCGCTGCAAGACATGTCTAGACCCAATATCGCCGCCTTTCAGGTATTATTGCAATGTTTGACATCATTGAAGATATTTGGAATCAAGATGCAGGGCGGATAGGCAACTCAAACAAGTAAAAAACATTTCAAAGAAGTAAGGTCGTCTGGCCGATTATAATTTGAACAAGACCTTCTGTTTGAGGCTGTCACTCATTCCGGCTCCGCCCAGCCTTTGGGCAATCAATGGGCATATATTAGCGTCACCAATAACCACCGAAAACCCGGTACAAACAGACCTTGTCAGGCGGGGAAAAGTCGACAAAGCGACATGGCGCGAAAAATTACCAAGTTCAAATTTTCCAGTCCTGTGCGTCGCTATTGAGGCTCTTCCCCTCGCCTCATCGCCCCGCTTCCAAATTCAGTGCACGATAGGGTGTAGACTCCACACATGGACAAAGTAAAATCCGAGAAAAGTCGACCAGAAGCCAGGGAGGGAAGGGATGAATGGCGACCAAATTTGGGGACTTCACTCTTCAACCACCACCTCCCCCTCCTTGACGCTCCCGGCCCGGGTATATGACGGAAACTCGTCCACTTATCGCATGGAATATGTAGAACCGCACACAGACAGTGAGAAGCATCGTGAAGGGGTCGTGGAGGCTCGATGTGGCGCGTGTTTCAACCGTGTTTCAACGGCTTTCTTGTTTCAGCCATTCACTTGCGTGTACTCGCCTCGTCCTGCAGATGCGACCGTG